CAGGAAGCCTGAGCCTGTGAGTGAAAAAGTGTGTGTTGTCAGCAAGAAATTTTATGATTCAGGGTAAGTGGCTTTTTAGTTTGAATGAAGTCATTCTGTTTGTAACGTTTTACGATGAAAATTAAAGCCTTCCATATAGTGCACTCTAAACAGGGCCAGTGTGTGATAGRTGACCGACGGGGCGGCATACGTCCAGACACACAATTACCAGGGGCCCACATCTATAAGCTCTTCACCCACTCGTTTCATATATACACACTCACATTTAGGTTCACTGACATGGAATACATCCCCAAACATTGGTCTTTTTCTGTTCATTTTGAATTTTATTTTTAAAGAAATATATCAATAACTCAAAAAGGAGGGACGGTGCTAATGACAAAGCAGATGGAACAAATTATAAAATGCAAAGTCAACATGTTTGTATTTTCACTCAGTTACAGTTAGTACTCTGTCAAACTATAAGTGGTCAATCATACCTGTCAACCATCCACACCTTCAATGAATAACAGATTTCTGTTTGTTATGATACTGCATTGTACATCAGTTTTTATACCAAGACTAATACAATGTGTAAATGACACTAATGATCTTTATTATAATCCTGTGGGAAAATCTACATTTCTTTAATCAAATAGCATAAAAATGTAGTTATATTGATGTGTAACAAATACCCTCAAACCTGACAGTTCAAGTCAACCCTTGGATTAAAACTAAAACTAAACCAGAGCAGTCTTGCCTGTTAAACAGGATTTCAAATAGAGGTACGTCACGCCACTCGTTACTTTACAAAGTGCTGACCAATCAGAGACTTGTCTGTCATTTTCCTGACACACCTGAACTTGTGGGCATGTCCTCCTGTTGCTCAGATAACAGCCGAGCACTACATTCTCTAATCTCTCCACGGTGAGATGATTACAGCCAAGCTTTTAACACACTCCCCTCAAAACCAGTAATTCATTATGCAATGTTGCCCAAGGCCACTGCCACCAAACTGGAGATCACACACACACATCCAAGCCACACCTTCTCTGAGAGTGCTAATGGGGTAGACTGAGTCACACAATGTCCAGTCCTCACTTCTTCCTCTCCAATTTTCCCCTTCAGGCCTCAAGAGACAGCAGGTCCTGTATGGCTACAGCAAAATGTCTCCCTTGGTCCTATCCTTGGGCAGTTTGATTCCTGTTGAGAGTTGTTGCAGACCCTCGTCTGTTCATTTGTGGCGTATGATAGCCCTACATGTCAAGCTTTGTGACTCATTGCCAGTGAGTCGGCAGATGTACAGTAGAGATTATGCATGAGGAATGGGGGTGTTGGGGGGGGGGGGGGTAAGGGCAGTATGCCAGAGATAGAGAAGAGCAGAGCCTGGCTACAACACTGTCTGAGATCACAGATGGGAACAAATAGTCTGGATCTGGCTCTTTATGAATTGTTCCGTTTTCACTGACACACAGCATTTGTTTGTAAAGCACACATTCATGTAAATTTTAATTTGGGAAGGGAATACTGGTTTAATGCAGATATTAGCTTTGGTGAAAAGCTTCTGAAGAAAAGTAAATAGATTAAAAGACATGGAAACCTAAAAATGTGATTACTCATACGTATCTTGGTTTAGTATGACCCATCACTATCAAATGTAGCCCAAAATGGCTAAACAGAAACTAAAGAATCTATATCCCTTGAATGTATACATCTGAGAAGAACCATGTGAGATGAAGAGGAAGTGAAAAATCAAGTACTGACAAATGTGCCAGTCTTATGATAAATATAGAAATCCCCAGCAATCAGGGAAGTATAAACAAAAAAAGAGAAGTGTAACTTCTGATTCTATTCTTTTAAATGTATTTATTTTTCCTTACCCGTTTGTTCCATTGGCTGTTGGCTGAGAAACAATCACCTCAGCTGGACTCTGTCAACAGAAGAGAGAACAAAGGGGGTAAATGAAAGAAAATATAACAAACAGTAGGACAGTAGACTGTCTTTAGGACTATCTACAAGTTGGAGTGATCTTCAGCGGGTTTCCTTTAGAGACCATGTTATAACAGTGCTCCTGGCAGCTCCAGCACATAGTTGCACTGTTCCTGTAAGGCTTGGCTCTCACTTGCAAGGGGTAAAGCTGGTGGGGAGAAATATGGCATGCAAAACAGGCTAATTTAGTGTAAGAGCTCTGAACAGAGGAATCTTTTGTGCTAGGTTCTGCATGCAGCCCAATTTTCACACCCCAGAAAGCTTTAATTCAGACTGGTCATTTCTCAAGGAAAGGTAACCTAAAAATAACCTCAATTTTTCAAACTGTAATCATAACAGCAACAGTTGCCTTCATCTTTTCTATCCACAAGTTAATGGAGAACGGCTACTGACAAAGAGACCTCTGCAGGCAACGTACATAAATAGGGCTTTATTGGTCCGCCAATAATAATTAACTAATGGACAGAGCCACAGTTCATATCACTATAATATGTTAGCAATGCAGCTATTCATAATAAATCACATACACTCACTCTAGGAAATAAGTGCTTAGCGGACTCTAAAGTTTAAGCTTTTACTGGCCAAATGAGGGTCCAATTGGTACACATTTACAATAAATCTGATTTTATGCTTCAAACAATGTTATTTTACATTCCATGGTATCTCCATTAGGAAGATAGGAGAGGATGTTTCCTTTCACAGTGCTCCTGCTCTCAGCCTGACCTTGGAAAATCCCATCAGACATCAGAGCTCACCAGTGTGCAGTTTGGACTAATTCCCTGGTGTGCAGAGTAGCACTGTGTGTCCCCATGGCCTGGCTTGTTGTCTCTGTGAACCACAACCTTGAGCCAGCTCCTGTGGCTGCCCCAGCCCAACTCGGCCCACCTGAAATACTATCCAGGTCAGCTATGGGCCCCTCACAGTTCACACACCACACTTTACTACTGGGCAAACTATCCTAAGTATAGCTGTTGCTCCACAAAAACATTCTCTTGCTTCTTTTTAGATGCCTTAAAAATAACTTAGTAAACATGTGCTGCACTCCCAAAGTTTGGTATCAAATCTGCATTATATTTTTTAAGGCAAATAGACCTTGGGGCAAATGAGGAAACGACTGGGGTCTGGATAATAGCACTTCATCAATGTTTAACTAAACAGAGTTACTGCACATGCCAAACCAGACAGGCAAGAATAACTGAACAGCATTAGAAAGTAACTTATGAATGGAAGCTAGAATGCAATGAAACTTTGCATCTGCCTTTAACCATGCAGTGAATGCCTAAGACAAGCCAACAGCCACATAAGATTCTGAGCTACTTACTAAAAACAACAAATCAACATTAATTAAACCAGTAACAAAGAAGCTATAATTTCATAACATGTAATGGTTTGATGAAAAATATTTTAAAGGCTTAAGTAAATAAAGTTGAAATATTTTAAGTCACTCTTTACAGAAAATGACAGTTAAAAGTAAAACAGTTTTCCAACAGAGTGAATGAGCTGTAGGATAAAAACAAACAAAAAAAAACCCCAAAGATAGCGTGCGATGTGGAGCTTTGGCACAATTTCTGCCTTTGGATGGGCAGAGGATGAATCACTCTCGACTAGAGCCAAGCATGAAGAGAAAGAGGGAAAAGATGGCGTGATGTGTTCATTTCGTGCCTGACTTCCGCTCTCGCTTTCCACAGTCTACTCTCTTGCTCTCTTTCTCTTTCCCTTCAGCTCTCCTGGGAGGCTGAGTAACCAGGAGGAAATGCTTGGGCTCAGCTCTTGTCGGCCTGAAGACCAGATGTGTGGCCTACAGGTGGTGAGGCAGAGACGCAACGGAAACCAAATATAAACCAGCATACCATGACACCTCTGAAGGCAAAGGGCAGTAGGGATGGTTAACGGGATCCACTCTAACCAAAGTTGGACTGTGCCTAATTGTTCTAAGAACAAGATGCATGGCGGCGCTCCAATACACACGAACAACTGCCAAGGCATACACATTACGTGGCAGCAGTTTATTGGTAAACGTGACTTAAAATCACGTTTAAAAAAATTGAGGAAAAGTCTTAAATGAAACATGGAAAGAAGAGTGAATGATAGATGTCCTGTCCAAAAACGAGTGCCAAGCTGTCCTAACACTGGAGGCATTCAGCTCAGTGTGACTGTTTGGGCAGCTGTTAAAGAGCAGTTTCTTTGAATGRGGACTGTAAACATGAAGGGAAAAGTTTCTGACATGGCCCTGTGCTCTTAAGGGTCAAGCCTACCGCATACATCATCCCTGACTCACAGTTCCAACACCAGTCACGAAAAGTTCTGCCAAAGAACACTGTGGCACATATGACTTGGTACTGTGGATGCCACACATCATGYCATCCCTTGGCTTGTTGGCAAACAAAGCTGTTGTGGTTTCTAGAAGCCTCACCACTTCTGTGGGTCACTGTGATTATCCTTGGATAGAAGCCAACTAAATGAAGTTCCAGTGTTATGAGTTCCCTAAGAAGCACACACATGCGACAGGGTGGGGATGGGGTCTTTGTTCACAGTTATTGATAACATGACAACTTCAACTACAAGAGTAAAGTGATTCTCTCCATTAGGAAGTAACCCGATAATCGAAATAAACCACAACACAAAAGGCAAATGTACATCACCCAGATTAATAGCCTTTTATGGCTCAGCACAAAGCAATTCATACTCATGAATACTTCCAAGCATTCAACCCCAATTCCAATGAAGTTGGGATGTGGTGTAAAACTAAAATAGAATACAACTAGATACTGCATAGCGGTAACATAATGACCCCCACATGCASAAATGCACCAGAACTCAGAAGTCTTTATTCCTAATAAATGTCATGCTACTAGGTGCATCCCAAAATTGTAGTGGTTTGGGTAGGGGTCTTTTTTTCGGGGGGGCATTGGTTAACCTGATGGATAGCCCCTCATCAGAGCTAAAGAACAAAAGAAACCTGAAGCTCCTATGTTTAATAGTTTTTGAGCTATAACCATTTTTGTATGTCCAGATTCCCCTTTTTCAGATAAATTGGGGGTGCGGGGTGGGGGCACTGATTGGTGGGCCTGATGGATCGAGCTTCATCAGAGCTAAACAACAAAAGAAATCTGAAGCTTTTATGTTGAACAGTTTCTGAGTTATAAGCATTTTTGCATGTCCAGACACCCCCTCTTTGAAAGGAACCCCCTCCTCAAATATGGGGTCTATCGTAAAACCATTGACTGGCGCCGTGTAGGTCGGACTCTTCTACAGTCCTGCCAAATTTCATGTTGATCGGTGCAGCCGTTTTTGTGCTACGGTTGACCAAAAATCACTGAAAAAAAAWCATAGGAAAACAATATGACTCTCGCTTATGCTTCARGTGCGGGGGTCATAATAATTTGTAAATCTTTTTCAATTTATATTCAATTGAATACATTACAAAGACAAATTATTTAATGTTCAAATGGATAAACTTTGTCTTTGAATTTGATGCCTGCAACACATTACAAAAAACTGGACAGTGGCAATAAAAGACTGGGAAAGTTGAAGAAACAGGTATTTTTGGGCATTCCACAGGTGAACAGTTAATTGGAAACGAGTGAGTGTCGTGATTGGATATATCCCCAAAGGTTCAGTCATTCATATGCAATGATGGGGTGAGGTTCACCACTTTGTGATTAACTGCATGAGCAAATAGTCCAACAGTTAAAGAACAATATCTCTCAATGTACAATTGCAAGGAATTTATGGATTTCACCATCTACAGTCCATAATATCATCAAAAATTTCAGAGAATGTGGACAAATCTCTGCAAGTAAGCAGMAAGGCGAAAACGAGCATTGAATGCCTGTGACCTTTGATTCGTCAGACAGCACTGCATTAAAAACCCACATTTTGTAATGGATATTACCACACCAGCTCAGGAACACTGCATAAAAAAACCATTGTCAGAAAGCACAGTTTGACACTACATCTACAAGTGCAAGTTAAAACTCTACCATGCAAAGACAAAGCCAGATAGCAACAGCCCACAGAAACACAGCCATCTTGTTTGGGCCTGAGCTCATCTGAGATGGACTGACACAAAGTGGGAAAGTGTCATGTGGTCTGACGAGTGAGTCCACATTTCAAATTGTTTTTGGAAATAATGGACGTGTTGTCTTTTGGGCCAAATTGGAAATTGAGTCTCTGGACTATTATCAGTGTTTGGTTCAAAATCCAGCCTTTCTGATGGTATGGGGATGTGTTAGTACCCATTAATGCTGAAAACGTATGTACTGTATACAGGTTTTGGAGCAACATATGCTGCCATTCAACACATGACTTTCTCAGAGACATCCAGCTTATTTCAGCAACACAATGCCAAGCCACATTCTGCACGTTACAACAGTGTGGCTTCAATAGTGCAGGTCTTACACTGGTCAGCCTGCAGTCCAGACCTGTCTCTCAAAGAAAATGTATGGAGCATTATGAAGAGCAAAATACAACAACAGAGACCCCAGACTGTTGAGCAACTGAAGTTTTACATCAAGCAAGAATGGGAAAAAATTCCACCTGCCAAGCTTCAACAATTAGTATCCTCAGTTCCCAAACACGTATTGAGTGTTGTTAAAAGGAAAGCTGATGTAACACAACGGTAAACACGCCCTGTCCCAGCTTTTTGAAATGTGTTTCAGACATCAAAAACAAACAGTGAATATTTGCAAAAAAACAATAAAGTTTATCCATTTGAACATTAAATATCTTGTCTTTGTAGTGTATTCTAGGGCTGCAACGATTAATCAATTAATCAACGACTAATCGATTATTAAAATAATCGTTAGTTGCAGCCCTAGTGTATTCAATTGAATTAAGGTTGAAAAGG